CAGCTTGTTCAGTGCAGCAACCTGCAAGATGTTTCCAGCTTGACTACAGTACCTGTTTCCAGGGAGGTCTATCATAACTTCATAATTTCAGAGTACAGGAAGCCACTGAAAAAGGTAATTTGATTTGTTTGAATGCAAGGATATTCAGACTAATGGACCAGTTATTGGAGGGAGAAGGAAGGGCTGCAGGTGGGGGGAAAGTGGTCGGGGACAGCTGGTGGAGAAACAGTGTTCTGGATGGCTGCATGATTTGCCAATAATGGYAAGGGAAAGAGTCTGCTGTTCAGACCTGGGAGAGACTCTCTGTCACTCTAGGGGAAGGTTATGTAGCTTCCCTGTATTTTGTGTCACAGAAAAGGCCATGTAAAACAGGTAATCACCTTCCCCGGGCATCTGACAATATCTACCGGGATAAGGGAGAAGGTTCATCAGTAAAATTTTCTCCAGCATTGCCTATTCTGATTAATTCTAATAGATCTTCTATTTTGTCTGTAACAACACCTTTCTCTCATACCAGCCTGTACAGCCCCTTTTCTTAATATTTCACTCTCAAGAGCCACTGCTTGCACTTCTGCTTCATAGCTCTTGTTCTTACACACAATTGTAGTATATTCATAGAGAGAAAGTAAAAGTGAATGGGAGCAAGGTTTGCAGAGGAAGAGACTCAGCCTACTTTCCCTTTCATCTTAGATATCTTTATATAGATATTTACATCGATGTCATATGGGTGGTAAATAGGATGTAAATGTTCCCCTTTTGTCAGTGTCCAGTCATGGGTGCAACCAATAGACAAAAGAAAGGTGGAAGGCCTTGGAGATGAGAACCTCCACACTCCAGGACACCTACACCAATATGCCTTTAAGCAGCCCTGTTCTCTGGGATCAGGCCTCATTCTCTTTATTTCCACAGGCTGACAAATTCATCACAAATTTTAGTGATGGCCTTTCCACAGCAGTGGCTTCCTGACTGATCACCATGGACCTCTTTTTGTGCTAGCTTGGTAGTGGGCATTAATAACATGAGCTGCCACCTCTGAACAGAAAAGGAAAAGTGAAAATGTACATAATTTGGGTGGCTGATGGAGTCCCATCCTCCCAGCCCACCTCATGGGTGTGTGCAAGGAATTTCTCATGCGTGCTCRTGTAAACAACCAGTATGCAGTCAGGCAGTTTCCAGTAGATGGCTCTTAAGCCTCGAGAGGCACTGCCATACAAAAGTCCATTGTTCATATGCAGGATCTGCCTACTTACCCACTCATTATAAAAGCACAGATCACAACAGTGGGATGTTTATCTTAGCAGGGTGTTACATTTTACCAACTGAGTCACAGTCGCTGGTTTAGGGTTAGAGATGGGATTACCGTGGCTGTTCTGGAACATCAAAACGCAGGACAAGGCACACACACAATGTCAGTGCTCAGGCAACAGTTCTAAGGAGGTAGAATGTTCCTGGGCTGAGTTTGAACCAGATAAAACATTTTACTATAAAAGAATGAATGCAAGACAGCTCTTGTGGAGAAACAGGGGCTTGTTCACAGGCAGCTATCATCCTGGAGAATCTGAGCTCCTTGGCTGTCCTCTGYAGAGAGGTTGGCTCCTCTGCAGGGCAGTGGCTTGCCTTCAAAATGCTTGAGTTTCTCCCGAGGCTAGAATTAGTGTCTGTGAACACTCTCATTGATGTGTTCATACATRGAAAACTCCAACCAAAAGTAATACAAATCTCACGAGGTGAGGAGTAGCTATAAGGAGCCCAACACTTAAAATAATTGTTTCTCCAGAGCATCAAAATTTATGAGTGAGTCTTGACTGGCATCACATTATGCTATTCTAAATTGAGTCCTGTCTTTATTATGAAGACAATATTGGTTATTTAGACAACTGCATTCAACAGAGCAGAYGAGTGTCCTGCAGGGGAAGTCTCCTACATGGCCATGAAGAGAAAATAGTCACAATTTCATTCAAGCCTGAACCCCCTATGATCTTTTTCCATTTGGTTCCCTTTCTACCATGAGCTGTCTCCCAACACAGAAGACAAGGTGTCTCTTCTCCTCTTCCTTGAGGAATAGGGAGTGGAACTAATAGGAATTGTACCTCATGAGAAATTAAAAGCGGTGCTAAAGGAGGAAAGAGAGATCTTATAGCCAGTGAGGCTAAGAGTGATGTAACACCTGTGAAGCAGAAACACATCCCACAGTTTCCAGGCCACTCCCTTAAGAATCAGAAAGTCTGCTGGCACTCAGGTGGTGAGGTAAGAAGGGACAAGCAGAGACACCAAGGCAGGGTGATGGCTAAGGACCAGCAAAGCAGGAATGAAGGAAGGATGGCATACATCAAGGATATAAAGGATGATTGAGATAGACAGTTTGGTTCCTCTGGAGAAAGACAGAAGACATCAGCAGATAGGATTCAGATAGAATTGGCATACTGATGTCTGTGAARCTCTGCATACAGAGGGAATCCTAGGAGAAGAATGAAAGGTCAGTATCTGTGGGTGTTTTGCATGGTGAGAGAAGTATTTGAAAGGAGAAATGGGAAATACAGGAAATTTKGAAATGAGACCTGAAAATTTGAAGAAGGGTGAAATTTTCCAACCTTTGCAGACAAACAAGAGCAATTTACAACCCCCGAGCCTTTGACACAACAAAAATTAGTTTCCTCCAACTCAGTGGCAAAAATAAGTTCACTGACTGGCAACTGCCTTATGACCCTTTTGCTAGAAGAAAACAACCTTTCCTGCTTGATTTGTTCAGTTCACCATTATTTCACATTCAGGTTGTGACCCTCTCTCAGCATGTAACATGTGGTATTTTCCAATACCCCTGTCAGGAATGGCTGGGCTTTGCAAGACACATCCCATTCAGTCATTCCTGCTTCAAATCCCAAATGACCAGGGCATAAACAGAGGTGAAGGAGAAGGAAAAAGAGACAATAATGCAGCCTGGCTTTTACAGCAAGAGAGGAAATGCCATGTAGGCAATCATCCTTTCTACCAATAGATTTAAGGGATACTGTGTGCCACCAAGCAACTAATAAATTAAAAGCCTCCTAAGGCAGGAACTCCTATGATGAGTACCCTGGGTGATGTGGGGTTTTCTTCTGTAATTATTAAAATTACTGCCTAAACAATACATTTGACTAGAATAAATATGGATGTTATATTTATGAAGCACAAAAGCTCCCAAAGATTTGCCTCTGGTGCTATAACCTTTTGAGCAAAGCCTGCCCTCATTTACACTGAGAAAATAAACAGGTGTAAACAAATGTAATCAGCTGTGGGATGGACTAATGAATTCAATCAGCTTCTTCTGTCTCCTGTGTTTATTATCATTCTCTGCAAGTCGTTTTCTTTTGGTGGCTGCAGCCCTCTGTGTGAAACCTAACCCCCAAATACAGCACACAGTTCCTGAGCTCACTTAATCTTAGATTGGCAGAAAGAATGAAAAGTGTCAAGGATGATACACAGCAGGCCTGCTGAAGCTTTGGCTGCCTGGTACCAAAGGAAAAGTTCCTTGGCCTTATCAGCTCTCCTCGCTAAAGACTCTGTACATCCTGAGGAGGGGCTTGGGACCAGTCAGTTGGATAACCCAAAGCTCTGGGTAAGGGATGTGGAACAGGCTGGAATGCCTTTTATCACTGGAAAGAAGAGAAAAAAACCCTACACACACAAATTACCACTATCCCTCATATGCTCTTCAATATTATACTGCTGAGAGGACGTGACTGAATTAGGAGTTAAGAATTCCTCCAGAGCAGAAGTTCTGATCAGATAACTTCTCCAACACTGTGTTTTAAAAATAATGTCCAGGTAATGTTGATTTTTTAAGCTTTCTAGTTACTACTGCTAATGTCACAAAGAGAACTAAAATAAAGACTTTTATAAMTGAGTGCTCTTTCACTTTTCCTGGTTTTTGCCCATGCTGCAGTGGGTGATAATTGTGCTTTTGTTTAGGATAAGCATTATTCTTACATATTCTCAGTATTTTTTTCCAGTTGTTTTAGACCTGTGATTGCAAATTCCTAGAATTTTGCAGTTTTTCTAAGGGGTCCAAAACAGAAACAACTATGTTATCACAGATGTAAATTTCCTCTGAAATACTGTCACATGAAAATTGCAAGGATCCATAAACCTTGAAAAGCTGAGGAAAAGTACCACCAGTTTGGTGTAAGCTCYTTGGAGAGGCTTACAAACACTGCCAAACAAGAGCAGCATTGTGATCTCATTCAAATTGTTCWCATGCTGAGCGTAGTAGCCTGCAAAATAAAAAGCCACTATCTAGACTTGCAACATGGAAGTGCCAGTAACAATGGAGAATTAAAAGATTATGCTTTCTGCATTATATCATTCAAGAATATGATAAGACAAAATAAGAAAATGAAAAGGCGCATACTGCAATTTTGTCCACAGTGGAAACTAGCTGTGACMTCTTAAATGCATTAAATGAGTTTATGCAATAGAGCTTCCTCCCCTCACCCTCGAATGTCCCTGTGGGAAGCAAAATTGTGCCATCTAGTGGGATTTAGACCAAGTCTTTGCTGTGCATTCCCAGTGGATGCAATGGGTGCCCTACAGACGATCTCCACTCAAATCCGTTTGCATTATAGCATGGACATTTTTGGATTCCACTTTGCTCCCAAATTCAAATCTCTCCTCTGCCACAGCTACAAGGAAGGGTCTGGCTAAGGGCCAGAGGAGAGGAAGGCAAGTTGCTTGTTCATTTATCTGCTCAATTCACCTTTCTTCTTGTCTTCTGCATTGGTGGTTTCACAACTTGCAGTTTTTTTCTCCTGTGCTGATCATAGCAAGAGAGCCGTACAATGTATGACTTGAATACTCTAATAGGTGCAAGCGACTTGTATCCCTACCTAATAAAACATGATCACTGTCCTTGGGACAGCTGGCTGTTTCCTGAGTCCAACAGGTGAATGAGTAACAACTCCATAACAAGTTTTCAGTACTACTAAAAGCAAAGTTCAACAGCCAGTCTTCAAATAATTAACAAATCTCTTCTCTACAAACACAGAAAAAAAGTGACCTTTTCCAACAAGGCATAAGCTGTTTTTCTCCAACTCAAATCATCCCCTGGAATAATTGGATCAGCTTTGTCCACTGGCAGACCTTTCATCTTCTGTGAATCAACATGGAAAGGAATCTTAAGAATGTTTTGGTCATTTCTTTCGGATTTTTGCTTCTCTTTACTGCTTATGGAGGACTGCAAAGTCTACAGGTAAGTGGGGAATCTTCCACTGGTTACCAGGACTGCTGGTCTGGAAGGGCATCAGGCCAACTGGTAGTGTGAAACACATTAATCTTTCCATGATCTCTGTGAGGAAGGCATGCAAAATATTTTTATGAGGTGGGTTAGGACATTAACTTGCTGCAGGTTAATACTCCTCACCTAGATCCATAGCATTTACTAAATATTTTATTCTACTATTCCTCAAATAGTTCAAATACTTGTGTTGTGCTACTTCTTCAGATCCACAAAACTTGTTTTAATGGATACAGAAAACAAAATGAACCTGAGATTACTTTTCTTAAAAGAAGATATTGCAAAATGAAAAACAAATTCAATTTCTTGAAAGGGTTTCTTTTAAATATTTCTAAATTGCTATGGGTTTGTAAAAATAATTATTGTATAGCAATGTAAAATAGCAAAAAGTTATGCCCAAACATTAAATAATTTTAGTATAAAATAATACAGTAACTTCTAGGATTGTGATATAACATAATAGCAAAAAATATTCTTTTAGATCAATKGCAGCGGTGGCTTGTACTGGCATCAACATCCTTAAACATAGTAGCAGAGATGAGTTTCTAGAATTGGAGAAATATTTCTAGACTTGAATACTCAGGACACCAGTAGAGCTCACTTGTTTATCCAAAATAAAAGACTGAGGGTTACTGTTGCTGTCTGTGATTGCCTCTGCACAGATAAACCCAAAGAGAAACTTCTCAGTCTAGAAGGCTCTGCTGGTCTAATGGCTGATAAGTTAATAGAAGCCGTTCATAAGCAACTTTTAGACAGGATATTAATATATGACCATGAACAATTGGATTGGATTTTCCCACTGGAATGGGAATCTGTATGCCTTAAAGGTGGAACTTGATACATAACATGATGCACTTTTTTTGCAAGAACAAGGGGCTGACCTCATTTCTGGAAGAGGTCTCTCCTAGTTCTGTACATGTCTCTTCTCTCCTTGAGCTGCTTCTTTTTGCTGACATTGCCAGATTCTGGACACAGGGCTGTTCTGCAGAAACAGTCCCAAAACTGGATGTAGATACTATGAGTTGGGGACACTAGTGAGGCAGGCAAAGATGAACTCAAGAAGCTGCAAGTCAGTCCCACCATCTGAACCAGTGCTAATAACACCAAGGTTGTGGGTTYAGCCTCCATATGGGCCATTTACTTAAGACTTGGACTCGATGATCTTGTGGCCCCCTTCCAACTCAGAATATTACRTGAATCTGTGAATCTRTAAGTACTGGAGCATAAAAAATTTCATAATTCATTTCAGTATTCCACTACCCCTGCAAAGAAACACCATACAGTAAGTGTTGAAAGTGTTGCTTCAAGCCACCAACAATTTCACTCTCCTCCAGTGTTCTCCAGTGCCACCCCCTCGGCATCCAGTCCCACTTCCAAAATCATACTGGATCATATCAGCTATCAATCAAAACGATCAGGAAAACTTTGATAAGCAGCACAGAATTGTAGAATAGTTTGAGTAAGAAGGGACTTCAAAGATCATCTCATTCCAACCATGCTGCCATGGCCATGGACTCCTTCCACTAGCCCAGGGCCCCATCCAACCTGGCCTCGAGCACTTCAGGCATGGATTATTCACAGGTGGTGCAGTGCCTTAGCACCCTCACAGTAAAGATGTTCTTTCTAATACCTACCCTAAATCTCTCTTCTTTTAGTTTAAAATTGGTGCCCTTTGTCCCATCACTACCTGCCCCTGCAAAAAATCATCTCTCCAATAAGTCCATGCCCTTCCTGTACCGGGGAGCCCAGAGTTGGATGTAGTGCCCCAGATGGGGACTCACCAAAGCAGGGTAGATGTGGAGAATCATTTCTGTGTGGTCACACTTATTGTAATCCAACCCAGGATACAGGTGACCTTCTGGACTCCAATCATCCACTGTTATTCTTGTTCAGCTCTTCATGCACAGAATTCCCAAGTCCTCCCCTGAAGGGCTACTCTCAGTGAGCTCTTCTCCCAGTCTGTACTAATGTTTGGGATTGCCATGACCCAGGTGCAGCACCTTGAATTTGGACTTGTTGAACCTCATTAGGTTCAACAGACCCATTTTTCAAATTTGTCCAGGTGTCTCAACTTGATCTTCTCATTTCAACTTTCAGAGCATCAAGACAAGAGGAGAACTATTTTGAGCATGAAATGATAAAACCTAGTTAGATCAATAAAATGTTATTCAATGTTGTGAAAATGTGGTGAATCAATTACTTCCAGCTACAAAAGGCCACTGTGAGCATATTAGGATATTTGGACCTTGGCCTCTGGAAAACTTAAGAATTATCAGACCTGTAGTTTAAAGCAAAGAATCTTCCACTGTTGCTATTCAGCCCTTGCAATGCAGATCTGAGGATATTCCTGCCTGAGAAAACAAATGAAGTCCAAGAAAAGAGGTTATCCTTCTTTCAACTCGCTTTCAAAGARGAACTCAAACAAATAACATCAAATTATCTAAAGATTGACTTATCAAATTTTTGAATCTGAGCAATCCTCACCTGGTTTTGCATCATGTTTTCATAAATGGTCTGTCATTTTGAGGAAAATCATAAATCCATAATCAGGCTGCTCTGGGGATATGAGACAGTAACACTCAGCTCCAGATGCTGTGTCTCTCTATTTCTGCCTGAAGCCACTGTGTATGCCATAATAATAGATATTTTTTATTAAATTTGTCTCAATCACTGTTTTTGTCCATGCAGAGCAGTCTCAACTCAGAAGAAGGGCTGGGCGTTACTTCCCTAAGCGTTCTCTATGCTGCACTCATCTTATCGTCCATGTTCCTGCCTCCAATCCTCATCAAGAAGCTGGGTTGCAAGTGGACCATTGCAATCTCTATGTGCTGCTACATTGCCTTCTCCTTAGGAAACTTCTATGCCAGCTGGTACATTTAAATACTTTGACCCTGTCTGTTGTGTTAGAACAAAATAAGTAAGAGCAAAGAGCTTCCTTCTTTTTCTCCATTCCTACTCTAACTCTGTGTTGCAGATTAGAAGGTTGGATGCAAAAGCTGCTACCTGCAACAGAGATAAAAAAATCCAGGAGGAGGTGGACTAGAAAGGTGAAAATGTGCAAAGAGTCAGAATGAACGCATCCATCCACCCACCTGAATTTGATTGTCTAACTCATGTTTGTAGCAGAGATTCCCCTTCGGGAAAAAAAAAAAAAAAAAAAAAAAAAAAAAAAGGTTCATTTGAGAGTCAAATAACTTTTAGGGCTGTTTTTGAAAAGGTTGAAGGGAAAACTATCTCCCAGCCAGCAGAGCTGGAAGAATAGGTCCATGGGAGGAGGTTAGCTCCTGCCTTGTCCTTTGAAAACATGGATAAACAACTTGTGCTCTGCCRTGACAGAGGATGCAACTCCTTGGAGGAAAGTTGCTGTTCCCATCTTCTGAAGTGCATGTGCAATTTAATTATATATGAGAAGTTAARGCCCAGCGAGCCTGCCCTGGGCCTGGTCCCTGTGCAGAGCTGGGAGTGCTGGCACACCCCAGTCTCTACAAGACTGGTCTTTTCTTGACTCCATGTAACAGATTCATTGTATCATAMAAAGGATAAATCCATTTCTTTGATGTTTATTTTTGCCTCTGGATCTTTAAGCAAATTATTATGCTAATGGATAACAACTATGCTAAATAAAGTGTTCTTTGGCAGGTACACACTTATCCCTACCTCTGTGATCCTGGGCCTAGGAGGAGCACCACTCTGGTCTGCCAAATGCACTTACCTCACTATTGCTGGCACTTCCTATGCTGAGAAAGCAGGAAAAAATGCAAAAGACATTATCAACCAATACTTCGGGGTCTTCTTTCTGGTGTTTCAGTCTTCCGGAATTTGGGGAAATCTTATCTCATCCTTGATACTCAGCCAATCTTCCACCAAAGGTAAAATGTGTTTAAAATTTTGGCACTTCTTTTTATAAACATCAGCTAGTTCGAGATAGATAGGAGGTAGGTTTCTGCAGCCGGGCTTTCATAGCCAGTGGAAACAAGCACTTCAGATGGGATTTAATCTATCTAGGACAGGTGGGCTATCTGAAAGCCCATCCAAATTTCTATCTGAAATAGACAAGATAAATTGGTCTCTGAAATAGTCTATTTTCTATCAAAGATCAGCCATAAAAAGAGTTCAGACAAATAGCTGAAAAGCAGGAGTCTATTGAATTCTGTTTGAATTCTACCCCTGTGTTACAAAGCATAGATAGGCTGCAGGCAGTGACAGTCCTTCACATCTGACTGCTATTAAAAGAGGATTAAAACAAAAGGCAAAATACTGAAGCAACCTTTCTGCAAAGCTCATAGTACTGGGTTAGTTTCCTGTTAAACATTCAAGGTTAGTCAGACTGATGCTTCTGCTTGCTGAAAATGAGTTCTCTACAGAACTCTCAAGAAGAAATGGCAGTAGCTGTTGGCAGGAGTCAACGTGCCAGGGCTCCTCTGCTGTATTTCAGGCTCAGACAGCAGATGCCGATGTAGCTTGAAGAAATCACTCAACAGCAGTGCCCTCATTTCCCATGTGTGTAATTGCTGTCAATTTTACAAGGGCAGTTGTGAAGATAAATTAATATTTGGATGCCACCTTAGAGATTGAAAATGCTGTGGTGTCTCATCAATGCAGCATATTCCTCATCCTGTCAAAGTCAGAACAGGGTTGACATGGAGAGAGCTTTCCACATATGCACTGCTACTCAGTAACAAGAAGTTACTTCTCCCTGGGTCAGCTGAGCAGAATGTCCTCTGAAGAGTTTTCAAATAACTACTAGGTTAAAACTAAATGTCAGGAAGTTGGCATCAGGTTTTAATCTTTGAATGCTTGGGTTTATGGCAATGTAGTCGTCACAAGTGTGATATTAGGGAGAGTCATGGTTCCTTTGAACCCAAGGAACTGTAGTTGAAGCACCATTAAAGCAGAATGCTGACAGATCTTTTCAAGCACAGTGGAGCCCTGCTGACTTGATCACAGAGCCACGTGATATCTCAGGAGGGACTGTCTATTCTGATTTCACTTGCAAGGCAGAGGCTGTGGTGCAGCTGTGGGGTCTGAACAGACTGCAACCATTGGACTCTGCCTCACAGCGCACATCCTTTTAACAAGAGGAGTAAAACACTAAATTTTTGGTCATGTAAAACTCTTCCCAGTTTAACATTTGAGGATGTTCCTCCAAATTCTAAAGACCCTCCTATACTTACACAGAATTTCAGAAAATGCTGTGTTCCTGTGAACAGGTCTCAAAGCCAAAGACCTTGCATATCTTCACAACTGTGGTGAGCAGTTATACCATAAGTTTCTCTACTGTGCCTTCTCAGTGAAACTCAGCTTCAATCTAGAGCGAGCTTTTTTTTGGGGTGATGGTGTAAGAATCTCCAGTCATGCAATTTTTTAAACTCTCCTCTGACAATTGTGCAAAGGCATCCATTGATATTTTCATGTACTTAAAATGAATAATTTCACTGARAAGTAGGAAAGATATAGCATGTATCTGCAGAATCCAAATGCGTAAAATCCAGACATGTGCCTACATTTGATGAATTGCCTGCATCACTGCATCCAGACACAGCAAGGCAAAGTTGCACTGTGAGGTAATACCTAAACTGAGGACAGTAATCAATGARAAGTACTAGAGTCATCCTTTCTCACTCATCAATATTGCAGTTTTAATTCAAGAAAAACAGTGCAAACCCTGCCTTGCACCTTGCATGTGACTAATTGCATGTGCATGTTTATCTTCAGATGATGCATGAACTGATAAAAAACTTGTTTTGCACACTTCTACACTTCACTCACGTGACTCACTTTTGCATATGATAACTTTGTTGAGGGCCTTTGTCCGATTTTTGCTGAAGGTCTGTAGTGGCAGTCAGTGACTATGATAGGGTAATGATTTCCTCTACGCTACTAAGTTTTATGCTATGTTGAATCTAAAGTTATTTATGTAGCTGGTTAGGCAACTAATTCACATGGCAGCAGCTTTGATTGGAAGCAATGAGGAACAACACACTAAAAGTTGCTACACAGTAATTGTAATTGAAAAATTAGGGATCAACTCTTATTTAAAGAATCAGCCACGGTACAGCTGTATCATTCTTTATTGTGCTTGGACCAGTGACAAATTCTGCAGTGAAAGCACTAAAATAATTGTGTGGGTTATGGATCATCCTCCTCCACTAGACAACTTATTCAGGCTTACACTTTATGTTAGTATCTATTTTTTACCAAAAAGGTACTGCAGGAAATGGCAACAGTGTGTGTGAGTACATAGCATGTGGCTTTGTCATGTGCCCTACACAACAGCGATAGGACTGAACAGAGCAAAGGTCTTACTCCAAACCTTGCTGCTRCTGTAGTTTCAAGTGTGTTCTCAGAAAGTTATAAAGCCAGTAATAAAATAATAAAGTCAGGAAAAGCAGGCTGCTTGGAAGACCCTAATACTGGGTAATCATAATAAGAATTTATATTAAAAAAAAGTATCTTGAGGGTGTTTCTGTTCCTATAACATATACAGAAATTATCTGCAGAGGAAAAATGAGGGGTGGGTGAAAGAATTGAAGTCAATCAGTCCAGTGCTGGAGTAAACTAAGGGACCTATCTCATGGGGTGTTGTGATTAAGAGATAGAAATAAGCACTCAAACTTTGAATACTGAAAATTAGCCTGGATTCAGGTTTCTGACTCTATTTTAGTCTCTGTCCTCACGTAAGCATCAATTCAGTGTTAAACTGGGATTTTGAATTTAAGTATCTCTAATCAGGAAAGATTTGAAGCMTTTTGACCTTACACACAGCGTGCACAAATCTGATCTCTTCACTGGCCTGCCTTTCTTTTGGTTCTTAATCAGCAAATGTCTCAGAAGAAGACCTGGTGTGCTGTGGAGCCTACAATTGCCTGAGTGATACCTCTAACACCACTGGGTCAGCAAAACTCTCCAACTCCTTGATCTACACACTGCTAGGGGTCTACACTGGTGAGTAATCCACACAATCTTTAACCATAATCACTGATGGYGAGCCTAGTACTTGTGGAATCTAGCACAGCTTTGCAGATTAAGTTTCTGACTTTCTCCTTCAATCCAATTTTCTAAAGGGAATAAGATATGTGAGAGCTGTAAACAACTCCTTCCTAAACAGTGTAAATGCTTTGTGCCAGGGTTGTATCATTTTTATCTGAAGGAGAAAAATATTCTTTACCTTTTTCACCTGGAATAAAGCTGATGCCCAGTGAGGTGACTCAAATTCAGCCAGACAAATTGGCATGTCTTTCATTTAGTCACTACAGCTGCTATAAACCTTCCTTGCATGAGGCTAGAAAAGAATCAAAGACAGAGAAGCTGATGCCATTAAAAACTGGAGAGACAAAACCAGATGTGCAAAGATTCACTGAATGAGGAAAGTTTCAAAATGCATCCCGGGCAAAAGAAGTTCTTTTCTGGATAAAGGAAAGTATTTGGCAGGGCAACATGCACCTTAGCTCTGTCCAAATACCTTTGCAGTCTCTGAACATAGGTGTAGTCTGTGCTGAGACAGATGTATGGGATTTGCCATACACTCCACAGAGTGTATGTGACCCAGGCAGAGCCTGCTCTCAGCAGGCAAGGGCATTACAGCAAACCCTTCTTCTGTTCCCAGCCTCCATACCTAATTGGTGGGAAAATGCAAAGAATATCCCCCATATTCCTCCCAGAGTGTACTGGAGCTGATGACTTTCTGCTAAAGGCATGTTTGTCTGTAAGGTTTAAATTTAAATTTGATGACTAGCATATACAGCACTCCCTTAGGCTTTGTGCATGTAGAATGCATGTAGCCCTGCTGTCTACTGAGCTTGTGTCTGCAGGGTTTCAGTTTTCTCCTAATCTCTTAATAAAAGATATGTCTTTTCCCACCTCAAGGGAAAGTAAAGAGCTATATATTTCATTCACAGACATTTTTCAAATGTGTCCTCTATTTGGTGGCTGAATACATGTTTTGCCTAGCTTGGGTGGAGACAATAATGGATAARTCTTCTGTTTAGCTTTCTCAAGGTCTATGAATGCTTCTATTTGTGTTCATACCAATCACTATTAAGCCATGCCCTTATTTCCTATAATTGCTCTCGATTAATTTAACGTATTTGTTAATATTTTTTTCCTGAAAATGTGGATGTTCTGCTCTCGCCCATTTAAGTCCTGCAATTAGCTTGAAACTAGTAATAAACATGCTGGCAGAACCAATAATGACTTGCATCACTCAGGGTTTACAGCTCAGCCACAGTGGGGAACCAGGACACTGGAGAACACAATGTCATTCTAGGAGATAAGAATGAAAAAAAAAAAAAGGCAATAAAAAAATGAGACAGTTTATTGTAAATCTGCTTATGTATTTGGATATTGAAGGTTCATAGAGGTTACAATTTCCATACACATAATATAGAGGCGTATTAAACAAGCAATGTGGATGGAAAGAGGTGCSTGGTTCTCCTCTTACTCTAAATTGTAGTAGTTTCCATGGATGAAATTCTAGTCAGCATAAGTGGGGAAACATTATCRTGCCCTGCGTCTGTAATGAAGCAATCAGTTGTGAATCTATGGCTGTCTCATGTACATTATGAGACATGGTGATCTTCTTGATAACATGAAAAAAATTGTTTTGATTCACTGCACAAGCAACAAATCTAGATTGATACAAGCACGATAATTTTCTGATTAACAGCTCTGTGTTAACTTTTATGTGCTGCTTCTGCTAGAAAATTATAGGTTCAAAGCAATAATTTCCATCTTTTTCAAGTTAGCTAGATCTGTTCACTATCATCTTCAAAATAGCACTTATGCCACACTGAAAGTGTTGTTATGAGCTGGAAAAAAAAAAAGGCACAACATATACTGGGTTTCAAGACAGCATTGTTTTTTCTTTCCATGTATTTGAAAGAAGATCCCCTCTAGCCATGAAAACCTTGGCACTGGAAGWGAATACTCTTCTCTCTTGTTGATTTAAAGCCTTCTTATGGCTCCCAAGGGAGCTGTTCCTGGCCAGCTCCCATCCCCGTGCCCCTGGCTTGCCCTGGGAGGGTGAGCCATCACCCTCTGCGGCTGTGCAGCTGGCCCGGCAGCTGTCACAGCAGGCCAGCCATAGCTAAACTGAGGGAATTTCCAAGTGCACGGCTGTATGCCGAAGATGTGAATGTAGATCAGGCCTTCTTGTTTATACAGAAATGGCCTTTATGCTGAAGCAGAATCAGAGGCACCTGCCAAAATATCCCACAGAGAGCTAAGCACCAAGTCAGAACAATAACAGCAGCAAGCAACTTCCCATCATTCTTCCAGCATTCCTCAGCTTTTCATGAACTTTTTGTTTTGTTTTTCTTGCAGCTAGTGGTGTGCTAGCTGTGTTGCTGGTTATTATATTTCTGGACCAGATCAAATCTGACCAAGCAGAGACTGAGAAAGAAAAACTAGAGGCACCATCCTTTTGGTCTACGTTCCTAGCAACTTTCCGGCATCTTAAAGATAAAAGGCAGTGTCTTCTAATCCCTCTGACAATGTACAGTGGGTTTGAACAGGGATTTCTTTCTGGTGATTAYACAAAGGTGTGGATGTCAATGAAAATATATTTCTGTCTGATTTTTTTGTGCCATTGTGTCTTACTGTTGCATCTGATCTATATTTACTTGTCAAATGAAGATGTTTTTAATGGTGATTTGTGGATTGCAAAATTACTGCTTACTTCTACTTGAATGAACTCTGAGTGACATCTTCAAATGGGAGAGGCCAGCAGTAAATATGTCCCTTGGAACAGCCTCAAAAAGAATGCAGTAGAGAGCCTACTCCCCAGTGGAGGCCACAGCAGAGAGCTACAGGTTGAAACTCTTCACTTGTTGTAAATAACAAACTGGGAGAGAAGCCAGAAGCCAGCAAAGCTTTTATATCTTCCTTCCTTCTGGTTTCCCTGGAGTTTGTGTAAGAGCAAGTCAGCACACATTCCACGTATTTTATTTTGACAACCTTTAMGGTAACAGGGCAAGTCCTCAGCGTGGCTGGCTGAAAGGTCTCACCAGTCACTACTACAGCAAGCCCAGACCCTGATGGACTGAAATTATTAAAATCACCTCTGCTCCTCCAGTTTCTTGACAAACCTAGACAGCAGGGTGTTCTCCAGGCATTTGTTGAGAAAGCCTCCAAAGAAAGGGGGCAACCTTCCTGAGCTGCTTCTTTCATGCTTAAGCTTTCAAACCTTGCATATAAATCAGATGGAAGAGTGCACTGGTTGCTCTGTTGGAATGGATTGAAAGGGGCACTCCATGGCCCTGTCTACTGGTCACATACTCTTGTAGATGAGGTCCTCTTCATTTTTTAGGATCTACTCTRTAATGGCCATAAGTGTCAATTGTGAATTTTCATCTCTTGGGTTATGATTGAAAGGGCGGAAAATTCCTAATGTTATTTCCAGGAATTTTATTTGTAGAGCAAGCAGTGCTCAGATCTGCTCTGCTTGTTATTCCTCTGTTTGCATGATGTCAGTCTGATTGGGATTTGGGTTGGGAATGTCGCTGCTGAAGGTCAAATGTGTTAATACACCAGGGACTTGTCAGCAAACTCTCTAGCTGTGTTCTTTTGATCTTGTCCATGTAGGCTATTTACCAAATGCTCRGGCTAAGATCCTTTAGCTGTGTATTTTCATCAAAGAAAATGTGGCACCATTGTCCCTTCTCTTCCAGGTGTATGTGACCTGTGCCCTGGGGATCCAATACATTGGCTACATGATGATCTGCTTTGCAGCTGTAAACTCCCTCTGCTCGCTGCTCTTCGGAAAGATTTCCCAGTTCACCGGTAGAAAACTTCTCTTTGCATTAGGTGTGTAAAGGTTTCTTGAATGACTGATCCCCACATGTAATCAAATCCAGCAGTCCCCCACTTTGCATGTACAAAGGGATAGCTTGCTGCCAGCTATCAATTAAATCCAAAGTCAGCCTAGACGCAAACTTCATTCACGGAAAAAGAAGCAGCTCAGCTCACAGTTAAGCAGTGTATTGCTGTCTTTGCCTCACATGCCTTTGCTGGTGATGAAAGTTCCCCCTGCTTTTGAGGGCACTATCCCTGCAGAAAGTGCCTTATGGCTTTGATGCTTTATAGCTGGTGACAAATGATTTTACAATGCAGATTGAGATTTGCACTATAACTAAGAAGGATTTCTCCACTGGGCTGAAATCCCCTTTACCTTTATGTGGTGAAAACAAATCACTGTTGATCTGAGTCTCAGAGAATGGCAATATTGGGAATGTGGGCAAAATTTCAGGAAATATTTTAAAGGTTGACCTGTTGTTATTTGCACTACTTGTTCTACATGGAGAAGAATAGAAGAAAGTCATGCCAGTGTGTCAGGCTAGAATAACTTAAGGGCATGTGTATGGGACAGTATTTTCATGCTGAGAAGAGATTTACATATTTAAGAACATCTCCCCCTCTAGAGAACTGTGCTGCGATGAGTAATGAGAGTAATGGAGGCATAAAAGAATATCAAGAAATATTTCTTTTGTGCCTCTGTGTGCATTAAGTATCCTGAAGTGGACTAAGACCTTATTTCCACTGTGCAATAATTTGTATTATTAGCAACATCACTGCCTGGATCATGGTGCATCAAGGCATTCTAGGCATTTTCTCCATAGGAAATTTTAAACCTGGACAAGGAAGAAGAAATTTAGAGTCCTTTCTGCAGTAGTCATTAGCTCAAAAATTCTGTCTGTTTTAGGTGTGTGTCTCAATCTATGAAATTCAGATTTTTTTAAAAAACAAACCACCTAATAGTAGSAATAAACAATTAAAATCTCCCCCAAAACTGTCATGTTAGCAATGGAAGACATCTGAACCTCTCATTTCTATGTAGTGTTTTTTGTACTCAGCCTGTGAAGGTGCACCTGTGGGGGGAGGAACCTGTTTACAAACCACTTTTTAAAAGAAAGACCCTCTAGAAATCTTAACTGTCTCCTCTGGCCCTGAATGGAAACCTCATTTAAGGACTAGAAAAGGAGAGCAGAAGGGTGTTTGTTCTCCCCTCCCACATGCCTCACATGGTGACTGAAAGCTTTTCATAGACTCCTCCTACTCAGTGGTTCATGTCCTTAGGGCTCACAACCATATCAGCCCGGATGATCTCTCAGCTCAGGACACCCCTCAGAATTATGAATTAGAGACTCTCATARCTCTGCATTGTTTTCTATTTCATGTGATGTCAACTCAGTCAGCGCAAATCTCAATGGACCAGAAAGATTTTAAGAGTGCCTTGTTCTCTCACTGGGGGAAGAATAAATAAGTGTTATCTACCACTATCTGTGCTCATTATGATTACATCTATATTTCCCTTCTTTCTTTCTAAATCAACAGCCGCAGTTACGAACACGGCCTGTATAATAGCACTACTGCTGTGGCATCCTCATCCCAAGCAGCTTGCTGTGTTTTTTGTATTCCCTGCCCTTTGGGGCCTGTCTGATGCTGTTTGGCAAACACAAACTAATGGTAAGTTCTGGTGACAATGAAATGTATTGTCTTGAGGTATAAAAATCTGCATGTTTTCATCTATGAAAGCATGTGTGCATAAAAATCGCAGTGGCTTTAAGACAGCTTCTAAAAGAAATTTGTTAATTCAGTGGAAAGCAKAAGAAATAGAACAAGTTGAGAACAAGAAGGCAAAATATTCATTAAACCAATTTTTTCAAGATGAGGAGAAKAATACTGCAGAAGATGATAATGGGTACTCAAAATAATTATTCTCTAGGAGTATAAGTATTTCAAAGAAACTTAGAAACTGAGAAGAATTATACGTTTAGTCTGTCTTTTGCAATGAAAGAGAGCACTCTGAATAAAATTAACTCAGAGTGCTGCAACAAAAGAAGGAAAGTGTCAGTTAGGAGATATTGGGGAAAAAATGGTAGGAGAAAACCACAGAAAGTAACATTATGCAGACAAGTAAATTCATACAACTCTGATTTAATTCCATTTCAAAAATCATAATTCAATGTGATAAGGCATAATAAGGCAATAAAAAGGAGCATGTTCATGGGAGATTTCTGCTTGAAGGAAGATTAACAAGCTAGAACTCTTTAGCCTGGACAAATGGTAAATATGGAAAGCAGTYAGTAAGTTATTAATTGGGTGGAGATGATGACTTGAAATTCACTATTTCTCTTAACAGAACTAGTGGCACCAGATAAAGTTATCAGGCAGAAGCCTTTATAGAAATCAAAATAAATAGTATTTCTCACATAATGCACAATCAAAGTATGGAATTCATTGTCAAAAATTTAAGCTGGAATTACATTATTCCATTAYGAAACCACTTCAGGGGAAAGTGATTCTGGAGACGACTAAAATGTGGTGATGCAGTGGAAATCTCCAGCTCAGAACATCCCTGTGTCTTTGATCACCAGAGTCAGGAGGACTTTGCAGGGAAATATCACTGTATACTTGCCWTATTACTTGTACTCTTATCCCAGGAGTCTGTTAATGAAAGGATAATAACCATAACCACTGGACTCCAAATTGGATGCATAAGGTTTATTCTTCAATGTTCAGCTGTGCAACACAATGCAATTTATTATCATGTACTGACAGTTCAGAAAATGAGCTGATACAAACAGACTTCTGGAAGAGATTGTTTAAACTTATCCCTTAATGAAAACTAGAAGTTCTGTTATGGAGACTAAAGCCAGGCTTTTAAGTGTTGGAGAGGGTGAGAAAGAGCTACAGTCTGTTATGACTTGAAGCAAAATTTACTCATGACTGTCAATCATGGTAATTTCTTAATCAATTCCATAGCCTGGGTCAGTAAGGCAGTTAATAAATGGTTTTGCACCTGCTCCTGTATTTTACCTYTTATTTCATGAATACTGTTTTCCTCCATCCCAAGTTCATATTTGGCAGATGCCACAGGAGTATGCATGTGACAGAACTAGCTCCTCTGGACACACATCAGGTTATGAGCCTTGGCCTTCCTTCCTCTGATCCCTTTGGTTGTCACAGGGGCTTAGAGGATTTCAGCCACTAGATTAAGTGTCATCTTCCTCCTCGAGAGCCAAATGGAAAGCACAGCAGTCCATTGCCTGGCACTAACAGTGCTCTCCTCTCAAGCAGATTAGAGTCCCTGCCTCTACAAACAAGGAAGTGAGCAGCCAGCATTCTTCTCTGCCCCTCCAGCAGCTCCAGCTCATATTCCCTAGAGGAKGCAAGCATCAAGGGACATCCTTTCATCCTCTCACATGCTAACACAGAGCCTTATGCTTTAGGTACAAACTTTAAATCAGTGCTCTCCTTGCTCTAGTTCATGGAAGGAAAACAGCAGTGAGGATTTGCTCTCTCTGAAGCTTCTTCAGCCACAGTTCTTTCTGGCTGCTCAGCAAGCTTCTTCCTAACACTCTTGAAARCCATATCTCAGTATTCCACTGGGATAAAGGGCTTGTCCTATATCTTGCCTCTAGCTTTTCCAGAAAGCCTTGTCCTCAGATACTGTGCTTCTTTCAGACTCATGGAAGGGTTGGGGTTGGAAGGCACCTCTGGACTTCTGGTGGTTTAACCCCCTTGCTCAAGTAGGACCACCAAGGCACAGCCACTTACTCATGACCATGTCAGAGAGCTTTTTTTTTTTTTTTTTTTTTTTTTTTTTTTTTTTTTCCAGAGAAGGAGACTCCACAGCCTGTCTGGGCAAGTTGTGCCAGTGCTCAGTCATACTTACAGTAAAAAAAGGGTTTTGTGATGTGCAGAGGAAACCTCCTGTATTTCAGTTTTGTGCCCATCACCTCTTGTCCTCTTTCCTTGGACACCACTGAAAAGAGGTGGGCTTTGTACCCTCTCTTCTAGGATTTGCATACATGTGAGGTGTCCTTGAGGAGGATGTTTGCTCAGCAAGGTCCCTGCACAACTGAAAAATGGACCTGAGGCCCACATWAGGAAAAGAGGGTTAAGTACAGAGTGCCCACAGAGCTCTCTATTACAGAAGGTTGCTGAGAAGTGACTGTAGTTTCCAAACCCCCAGATGAGGCAAAGACAGTGTACAAGGCTTCATGCTTACTTGATGGTGAGTGAACTCTGCAGTTATGTGACAGGATTATTCTCTATTTACAGCACTGTATCAGGTCATCTCCATTCCCAGATTCCTGCAAGATACTTGTGAAAATTTCACATTTGTATTAGCTTGGAAAACACCCAAATGTTCYTATTCCTTGCATAGTGTCTTTTTTTTTGGTCTGCACCTTACTCAGCTGTTTCATAGCTCTCAGTTATAAAATTACACAATCTTTGCTTTGTTACATTGTCACAGGGAAGTAATGGGTGAAGACATGAAACCTTAGAGAGGTGCTGTGACATTACCCCACAATGCTTCATCCCAGAATAGGATCTTCATATTGACACACCCACCCAGGACTAAATCTCTTCTCCCCTTGAAGGGTTTTATGCAGATATAYATCACATGAAAATTTCCCAGCGTCAAAGACCATGAGGTGAGATAAGACCTTGAAAATAAGACGGGAGACTAAAGTTTGTGGTCCATCCTTTGCTAAGCTCCCATGAGTGCTGCTTGGGCCTCAGTAGATTAACCAGTGAGTACAGAAATGGCATTATGCCATATGCTTAAGGCGTTCTGTCTCTTGCTTTGTGCTGCTGTGGATATTTAATACTCGAGTTCCCCCTAGAGGATATGTAGGCTCATGGTGCATGAGTCACTTCATCTTATAAAGGTTTCCTGACGTGTTCATGTTCATGTGTGGGCRTTCTCACTTATTTCCAATGTAAGCTGCTTCATTTCGGAGCATGTAGTGCCCTTTCTTACCTAACTTGAGCACAGATGCTTTTATTACCCACTGACAAAAATTGCACTTGGAGCATCACAACCGTGTAGCACACAGCTGTCAGGTAGACTACGGTAAAACCAAGTTCTTTCCAGGCTGATTTGTGTCTTTAGAAATGATATGAATAARTCTAAATAGTTTATAAACCTGGACTCAGATAATTTCCAGCAGTCCTGTTAAATGCTCATGCCTGCTAGTACCAGGGGAAAGAGTAGGTAGTGGTAAAAAAGCAGCATATTTTTCATGGAAGTGAACGGCAAAATGTCAGAATTAGCAGCCTCTCCACTTACTCAGCCCAGCAGATCCTGCTGAAGATCATCCAGGCAATTTGCTTCAAAATAGTAAACATGTACCAGCTGAAAACCATAACCTTTACACAACAGAGCTGTCATGGCATCAGAAACCTTCCTGTGTTAGATTTACCTCACCAATATCTTTCCAGAAGATAATGCTCAGCTTATCAGGAAAGGAGTATGAACAACTTGTACTTGTTCATTTATTAGGCAAAACTATGAAGGTCTATCATATCTACACTCCACTCAGCCAGTTTAATGAGCTAAGTACATCTTGTGATGCACTTGTCCAGATTTTCCATCATGTCTAAATTGAAACAGTTCAGTAAATGTCCTCTTGCACTCATCAGGACACAGCAAGTTTTTACATACAGATGAGGTCTCCCCCTACTTAACAAAACTGAAGGGATAGTTGAGTCCACCTAGATTTTCAGAGAACTTGACACTCCTCTGTGTCTTTTGGCTGAATGTATGTATTTCAAACAGGTGTGTTGTTAGAGAAGTGGATGAGAAGAGTCAAAGGTCATGATATTCTTCTCCTTGCACACCAYAGCTGAGTCAGACGAAATGTCCCCTTCATTATCACTGCTGATGCTAGCTCAGCACCCAGAGCAAAGCAAGGTCTCTCCCCTTCCCTGCMTGCTTCACTAATCAGACCTGGAGTCTGGAAATCCCTCCCTGGATCCAGCTGTGGGTGTGGAATTGATTGAACTCAGTGGGAGCTTCCCAGGGAACACAACTGCATTAGGATGATCAGTTGAACTGACTCTCTCTGTCAAGTAAGTTTCCCAGTTGCTGCCCAGGKGCTCTGTAGGCATCAAGGATACCTTTGCCAACCCATCCAGGAGCTGAAAATTTGAAAACCAGGCTGTCTCAAAGCAACATATCTTCTCTGCATTCTAAATCATGTTGTCTCTAGTCAAATCTGCCTGTTCAGTGAAATCCTGAAAGGATTTGGTATTGCGTTCTCACTATTAGACATGTATGTAGTCATACACGGAGACTCTACARTGTCAAAGGTAGTTTTTGGAGATCTCTCTTCCTCCCTCTTCCTCCTTACTTGGTCATTCATCAGTGCAAGAATCTTCATTTCTGTGTGCAACAGTTTGAAAAATAAACTTCCTGCCATCTTACTTCAATAGAGCCCATCCTTTCTTCCTTCTTCACATTTCCATTCCCTTTTTCTCCAATGTCCTCTATTTTGTCTTGCTCTGTTATTTCMCTTGCAACAATTCACAGAAGCACATTTTTTTTAAGACAAAGCCTGTATTTTCCTTTCTCTGACATTTATGAGGGAGGATCTGTCTTCCCCATTGTGCTCTATTTATTCCCTTTCCAAAAAATATATRGTTGCAGACTTAATCTTCACAAGACATGTTTTTCCTTCCTTCCTTCCAGGACTCTATGGCATTTTATTTGAGAAACACAAGGAAGCTGCCTTTGCAAATTACCGTCTCTGGGAATCACTTGGATTTGTTATCGCCTTTGGTTACAGCACCAAATTGCAAGCCTACATCAAACTGTACATTTTATTGTCTGTGCTCATGCTGTCCATGGTGACGTATGGAGCAGTGGAATACCTTGAGGTTAAAAGCTCCCCTGGGACACCTCCTGCTACAAAGAAGGAAAACGGAGTACCTCAGTCCCGGGAAACATGCATGTAATCCAACATGATCAGTCTGAAGGAGGTAAAGCAAACTGGCCAGCTCCCCACAGGCATGTCTCCATGGGCATTCCAATCTGTCCTGTATCCAGAAGCACAGTAAAGGAACAGATTTCAAGGCCATTATAGTGCAAATGTMTTAATAGCAAAAATCTCCTTTGACATCTCACCTTTATAAGGGAAGATGATCTGACTTCAACCTTTCAGGCAGAAGACCAACTAAATGTTTTCCCTTTTTATTTTAATTAATAAAATCTTCATAAATATAAACAAGACTCCTAAAATGCTCACATTTTTGTTTCTATGGATAAGACCTGGTATAGCTTACAATCAAACATATACAGCCAATATGCAGAATGAGAGGAACAATTGGGATTGCTCAGTTGATTGCAGACAACACGCATCACTTCATGGAACCATTAATTATAAAGATCTACACTSGTTTTATCCTGCATACTTTAAAGCCTGCTGTAAATGACATCAACCTATAAAGTGGCTTCCACAGAATCAACTAACCACTGAGTCCACCAACTTGTCTTAGGTCAGTAGACACCTGTGAATCTGCCCTTGCCATCCCTCTATCCCAGCACTCTTTCTCTTTGGAGTTTCCTGTATCTAATTTTTCTGTCACCAGTTACTGCAACTTCATCCTAAGAGAGATGTCTTCCACAAGACAAAACAGTCATGATGACCTTACCCCACTTTCCCATCCAGGGACAGATATGTTTTCAAGAAGAGCAGTCAGGCCATGAGGAATCTCTCCATAAGGAGGGTGCAGGTGACAGTGCAAGTCACAGAGTGATAGGGAGAAAAGGAGATAGGTCTACACTGTAATAAGTCCTCGAGACCTATATGCATCCTGCAGTGCTCATCTCATTTCAGCTTCTCTTTAGATTTATCYATATTATTTCTAGATGTGGATTTTTGTGGTTTTACTGCAAGAGAAAAGTATTACAGTATGTTTACTGTGCAGTGGCCCTGCATCCTAATGAGGGAGCAATGTACAGACATCGTGATCATCACTGGCAATGACACCATTCAGATTCCCTGTGTGAGGCTGACAGCATCAAAAGAATTGCAGACAAATGCTCTTCATATCCAAGATTGGTGTTGCCTCTGGAAATAAACTACATAGCTAGTTAAGCTAGGCTGCCATGGAAATAACACTTGAAACTGCTTCCTCTCAGTTACTAACCATAACAGGATGATGAGGCACTATATGGTGTGACAACAATATATTTGTGACAATAATCCCCAAATTGTTAGGTCTTTTAAATAGCAGCAAACTTCAKGCTACTTTACTGTTTCTCTTACATTTCTTGTTCCCAAGCATCTGGACKCCCCTTCAGACTTCACTTGTGTTGATTTGTGGCATTTCAAAAGATGAGCTTTTTTCCAGGTCTCATACAATAAAGTCAAATTCATTACGTTCTCACTTGCAGAAAAGAAGGTGACAGGTGGGCTTCCTCACAGATGCAGCTTTCTCTCACACCTTGCCCTGTCAGCTCAAAGGCATGTAGTTGATCTCTCTGTTGGAAATGGCAGAACTATTGTGGCTGCAGAATCCTGACAGCCTCCTATCTGCCAAGCAGGTACAGATGGATATTCCAGGCTGCTGCTGATTCTCACCTTGCCTTGCTTCCATCTCAGGGAAACGCAGCATCATGTTTCATGACACATCTCTGAATCCTCCTCTGATTCTCTTTTACAAAGCAATGTTCAATGGCAAGTGAAGAAAAGAGGATTTCTTAGGTCAGCATCATGATGGAAATCCCATCTGTGTCTGTGTGATAACTTTTATTTGTAACAACCCAAGGCAGAAGTCAGGATCCTTTTACATGAGATGCTCTACRACCTCAGAACAAAAAGACACCCCCTACCTAGAAACGATACAGGTATTTTAAAATATAATTTATCTTTTTACTCCTGTATTGACTCTGGCTGGGATGGAGTTAACTTTCTTCATAGCAGTCCATATGGTGCTGTGTTTCAGATTTTTGTACAAACACAGTCTTTCTAACACACCAGGGTTTTGGCTATTGCTGAGTAGTGTTTGCAGAACATCCAGGTTTTCTCCACTCTTCCCTCTCAGTGAGGAGTTTGCAAGAGCCCAAGAAACTGGGAGGTGGCACAACCAGGACAGCTGAGACATACTGCCTAAAGGGATATCCCATGCCACATGAAACCCTGTGGGACAAAGGAGATACCAAGGAGAAGGAAAAAGGTGTTCTGAGCTTGTTGAGGACCTCAGTATCACTGACATTGAACCAATACAGGAGATGGAACACTGTGGTCTGGAGACACCAAATATTTTTTACTCTTGATTTTTCACAGAACTTTATGTAGCCATTTCCCAAATGACAACTCTTCTATTGCACAGGAAGCATGAGGAAAAACTCTGTTACCTTCGGAATGAAAGCCACAGCTACACGTGGCAAAGCAATGAACATGTTTAAGCCTGGGACAGGATGAGTATAAAGGTGCCCATCAGTCTTGGACATGACTTAAATGAAAATTGCCATTTAGAACATTGTTATACCTGGACACTACACAGTTATAAAACTTGTATGGTTTATTGTAAAGGCTACAGAGATTTTGATACATAGTATGTATTAAAAAAATTAGGCAGGAGTTCAACTAGGAACTATATTCACTGAAATGCAAGGAAAAAAAAAAGATAGCTGAGGTTGCTGTGACATGAGACGTCTGTCCTTTYACAGCCAGTAAAGATTTCACAAGCCCTGCTTCAGTCTAGCAGGCAGTGAAATACACAAGTCTGTCTGTGCTGAGGCCTCAACCAGCAACACGGTGCAGGTAAACTCACCCTTTTTCACACTAACTGGTGAAAAAGTTTCTCTACCAGGAATGTCTTACTTCATCCACAGCAAGAATTTTCATTCTGGCTTTTATCAGTCTTATTCTGAGTTTGTGAGATTAACAAGAGCAGGTGTCACCACCTCAATGACACTGGCTTTGGGGTTTGAGGTGGTAGCCACATGAATACCTCCCCAGTCACRTGCTGGAAATTTTCAAGAGTTCCAAGCCAGACAATGGCTAAAAAGCCTGTTAATGTTTATCTACTCAAGGCTCTATGTTCTCTGGTGTCTATGTCTCACTGCGAGCAACCGCTTCTGCACGCTATGTATAGTGAAAGGCAGCACACAGTGGAAGCACCKTRCACCAAGTATTCCCACGAGAGTTCTTGTTTGCAAACACTCTAATTTGCTCTATCTCACTTGCCTGTGTGGTAAGCCATGATAAGGCCTAGACCTGGTAAGGGCAGAGAAGGTCCGTGAAGGCTCTAGAAGTTTTGATGCCGTTGGCCRCCATTGTCCGACAGCCGGCAGGTGCTGGAACACTTCCAGTCGGGTCTATCTCGAGCGCCCGCGAGGCTGTGAGAAGCCGCAATATAGCTCTATGGCAAGGGTAGTCAGCACGAGCCCCCTGCAATGGCAGAGCTACCATATAAGGAAATTTATGGTGTTAGTAAGAGCTTCTGTACGTTAAGTTACCGCTATCCCTGTTACAAAAAGCGTTACATCTGACTGCCGCCGCCATTACGAGCCAAGGGTATAAAAGCCTCGGCTTCCATTAATAAAGCGGATGAGATAGCACGTACAACCAAGTCTATGAGGTCGTTTATGTGTCTCTCCCCCTCTCCTTGCAAATAGCCACTCCAACAAATTGGTGGCCACCGACGTGATAGGGTTCCAACAAATTGGTGAACATCGGTGTGTTTGGTGTCCRACAAATCAGGACAAYGCCAACACGAAYGGGACCGCACYGAATTGGATTGGGACGGCGGACACACAGGTTGTGAGGCCRGAAGGTCACGGCAAGGGGACGTTAAAACGTCAGGCCCGAAAAAGGGTTCGGGACAGCAAGGTGCCACAGCRGCGCCRTGCCCCRAGTGTTCCAGAGGAAGACTCGGCTGACGGAATTTAAGGAGCTCAGGTCTCTGGATTTGGAGAYGGAATTTGAGGATCTCGGGTCTCTGGATTTGGAGACAGAATTTAAGGAGTTCTGGTCTCTGGAGTTGGAGACGTAGAAGTGCCGRCGGGATTTTTCGGTGCCGTGATTTGGGTGCATYGCAARGAAGCATCCGGCCGACGGCGTCKCCACRGAAACCTTGGTAAGAATTGCTGCAGCGTTTTGGGGTTGAATATGGATAGGCAGGCGGCTCAGTTGCTTATAAGTTTTTTAGAAAAGTGAAGAGCCAGGGGATTAGACCTTCATAGGGAGATCCCAGAATTAATAAGTTACACATATAATCAGGGATGCTTTAAAGATCCGGCTACTGTATTCAGAGTAGCAGAGTGGAGAAAGCTCTCCAAGTAAATTTGGGATGCTTTATCGAACAATGATGAGACAGCAGTRAGGATAGGAAAACTGTATACAGTGGTTATGGGTGAAATATTTGAATTCCAGGCGGAAAGGAAAGCGGMCCAACAAATTAACATCATGCAAGAGGGAGATTTAAAATCTGATTTTAGTCATTCCGATTGCCCTTTACCCGCTACCGCTTGCTCCGTCAGGCTGCCACCCTCCGCGAGCCCAGAGCCTAGTGGGCCTAACTCCATAACTGGGAGTTTGGGGCCTACGCGGCCGTCTGTTCCCTCRGTGTTGTGGTCGTCCACGCCGCCACCGTTTCCGCTGCAGTCGCCATGTCGTCCTCCTAGYGAGGCCGGAAGCGACCCGGTAGAGGTCGCTCCGCAGGGKGGCCTGGGAAGCCCCGGGCCAGAAGGCGACTCGGCCRCTGCCGTTACGGGGAGTAGAAGGAGCATGTGGGCCTCGGTTGCSCAGGAATGCGTACGTTGCGGAGATGCRGAAGGCTTAGAAGCAGTGAAAGATCTTGCGTGTCCGGCTGTATTCAACCCAGCACCGCAAGGAGATGTAGATGCAACCATTACTGCTCTTGATTGGAAAATTCTATCGCAGCTTTGCACTACAGTCAGCGAATATGGAGTTACCAGCRAACCGGTTAAACAGATGTYAGACTATCTGTGGGGGACACAGCTTCTATTACCAGTGGATTGCAAAGGTATTTCTAGGCTTATTTTTACTCAACATCAGCAGCTCTTGTTTAATCCGCATTGGCAGGCCTTAAGTAAACAATGCGTTATGACTCTACGAGCTCCTGGGGACCCTCTCCAGGGGGTAACCCTAGACGAGCTTCTGGGTCGGGGGCCATATCTGCRCACAGAAACRCAGGTCCRGATGKGTCCTGAGAAGTGCAGGGAATCGATGCGGCTAGCGAGAATGGCCATCGACAGAATAAAAGAACCAGG